GGTTTTCAGTTTTTACCATTGTTGACCTAGAACTCAAAATTCTGATGTACTGTTACTTCAGCCCCAACTACATATGAGCTGCATTATATTCTAGGATTACACTTCTTTCTTCCTCCCTCCCTCCATTTCCTCTCCTTCCCTCTCTCCCTCTCTCTCTCTCTCTCTCTCTCTTTCTTTTCTTTATTATCTCTTTTTGGATATCTGCCCTTCTGGATTGGTCTTCTATTTTTTTAAAAACTTTTTCCTCTTTTCAATTTCTTTCTTTTTTTCCTATTCCTTCTTGGAGATTTACTCAGCTTTGTTATTTAACCCCTTCTGTTGAGCTTTTGATCTCTGCTATCATATTTAGAATTCCCAAGAACTCTTTTTTTAAAAAATACTGTCTTGTTGCATGAATATGATATCTTCTTTTATCTCTTTGAGGAAATTTATATTAGCTTAAAACATTTTTCTTATTTCTTATTTTTTTTATTTCTCCTGAATTTCTTCTTTCTGTTAGTTTTTTTGGTCTGTTTCTTTCAAGGGTATGGCTTTCTTCAAATGTCTTGGTTACTTACTTTTAAGGGAGAGGCACCGAAATGCTGATTTGAAGTTTTGTTTTGTTTTGTTTAAGATTGGTCCTGAGCTAACATCTGTTGCCAATCTTCCTCTTTCTTTTTTTTTCTCCCTAAAGCCCCAGTACATAGTTGTATAACCTAGTGGTAAGTCATTCCAGTTCTCCTGTGTGGGATGCCACCACAAAATGGCTTGATGAACGGTATGTAGGTCTGCACCCAGGATCAGAACCAGCGAACCCCAGGCCACCGAAGCAGAGCACATGAACTTAACCATTTGGCCATGGGGCCGGCCCCTGATTGGAAGTTTTATGTAGATAGCGCTTATTAGCTGGTCGGCTTTTCTGAAGAGAGATCTGGCAGGGCTCTCGATTTTTACATCGGAAGATCTTTAAATGTCAGTATATGCGGGGATGGAAGCAGGTTTCTCTTGGGATATTCAGTTCCCCCAGAGAGGAGTTGTCTAGTCTGTTACCTGGAGGACATAAACCTGCCTTGCAAGTATTCTGATAGCTGAGCCTCAAAAATGTTGGGCAAAGGGGTAATGTTGGTGTGTGTGTGTGCAGGTGCACCTGCGTGACTCTTTCACCTAATCTCCCTGACTTCTGTTTGGTATTTCACTTTGCCCACACCTGTGGCTGAAGTCCCCTATACAGACTCCCTTGGCTGCTTACAGTTTTTTCCCTTAACATTTTTTTTGTAATCCTACTTTAATGGGTTGTGGGGCTGGGGGGGGGAGCAGGGAGGATAAACATAAATCTTTAATTCTTTAAGTGGAACTAGAAGTTCCGCCTTTGTATTTATTCTTACCTACTCTGGCCAAGTTATGTCTCCTCCCTGAATTTGTGCAACTGTTTACACGGAAACTTACTCCCCTGAGTCTTGTTTAATCTGAAAGGGCATATTAGGATTTTGATTCTGCCATTTAATATAAGAATGAAAGTACTTAGGTGTTGGGCTAGGCTCCCGCAGGATTCTAGAATATGGGTCAATATGCCAACTTCTGCAGGGTAGCTGTGGGCAGGGGAAAGGGGACTGATAGAAGGAAAAGGCATGCATGCTATGTGTGTGCAGGCACAATGCATGCAGTAGGACCTGAACTGATGTGTATGCTGAACTTCCACAGCACACACTCATCTTCAGCATGGGACCCCGGGCACTGCTAGTGCACCTCTGAGAAGCTGTGTTGATGCCCTTGTTTTATGCTTCACTCTGCATTTGCTCCTGCAGATTGCCACTTGCCCCTTGATCCCGGAGCAAGTTTTCTTAAGGAAGCCTGGGTGGTACAGCTTTTCCTTCTTAAGATCTTGCATGCAACTAATGCTCTAACAAGAGGTCATAACGTAATTAAGATAGAGTGGATAATAGTAAATCTGACATTTCAAACTGGGTAAAAGCCATTGCTATTATGGTGGAACGGGAATAGAATTTTATTAAAAAACCTTAAAAACCAACGAAAAGCTAGCTAAAAGAACAAATGATTTCCAAGCTCTATTTGGACAGTTTAGAACTTAATGATTGACTGCATTGAAAGTCTTTCTTACCTAGTCACCAAGCAAGAGATATCCATAAATAGTCCTCTGTTAGCCTACCTTAGAGTTATACCATGATTTTGAAAATAATAAAACTACTTTAAAAAACTGTTCTGTAAGTCACACTAAAGCCTAAAGGAGGTTTTCACTAATTCAGCTGGCCATCATCCTGTTAGATCAAAACGATCCGTGTTATCAAGCAGATTCTAAAGTTTCCTTTTAAATAATCCATGGACGCTTTAATAGAGCATGAGGAATTTATTTCCTGTTCTCATCCAGAGCCCAGGAAGCTGGTTTGACGTCAGGGCCAAGCTGGAGTATTGTGGGGTGGGGCGGGAATAGTGCTCTGGTCAAAGTTGGCATGGAGTCCTCAGCTCTCTGCCCCATCTCCTTTGTGTGTCCATCTACAGGGCAGAAGGAAAGGCAACGTTGATTTGTCCTGGCTTTGGGTACATTAAAAAACATCTGCTAAGAGAAAAGTTTTCAGTTGGCAGTAGCATGCTTGTGACCTAGAGGTTGTGTAGGTGGAACATGGAGTTTTTATAACAGTTCCTAAGAAGCCAGTGTAGTTTCACCCCCGTGATTATCTGCAAGCATGCCATGCATTATTATTAACTTTGTAAATGTTCAATGGGTTTTTAAAAAATTTGTGGCAATGACATTTATAGAATTCATTTTCAGTGTTTTACTTATCTGTGTTGTGGTTTAGACTGAAGGAAGTCGTAAAATCCTCAATTGTTGTATTGCAAAATTCAACTACTGTGACAGCATCATTTGCTAATATGTTTTTTAGACATAAGAGTAAAATTTACCCCCAATAATAGTATTGCAATTATTAATGTCCTTAGAACTTTTAACTTTTAAGTAAAAGGTAAGAATAACATCAGAATGCCTGTTAATATGTAATTTTCTTCTCAGAAGAAATGAACTTTTAATTTTAATCATCATGAGACAAAGTTCCTTTACCGAAGTATTGATGGGATGAAAGATGCAAACAACTTGAGCCCCACTTCTAAGTAACTGAATAAAATGAGCTGGGATTCAGGGCAGACTCATGCAGCCCCTAAGCTCAATTCTCAGAGCTTCCCTAGTTGTGGATGTCTTTGGTGGGGCTGAAAAGGAGAAAGCAAAGCAGCAAGGATCCAACAGAATGTGAAATGCTGTGCTTATTTGTTTTTCTTTTTGTAATCATTTGTCATTGGAAAATTTCAAGCATACACAAGAGTAGAGAGACTCATATAATGAACCACCATTGAAAAAATTGCAAAAATAACACCTTCAACTTGATATGGGAAAGAATAAACTGGCAAATACAAGAAGTCCTTACAAGGTAGAACTTAAAAACCATAGCAAGGACCTACTTCCTTGGCTGCCCAGTTCTACTCCTTCTCCAACGAATACCAGCATAATATAAATGTCATTTTTTAAACAACAAAAATGCTTTCTAAACTTTTGACAAAGACGTATTTCTTAGGACTTACATTGATTTGACAGAGCTCAGGGCAGGCTCATGGGAACAGATCTGGGCACCTGACCTCACCGTCCACTGTCCTGAGTCAAGTATAAATGGGGTCAATAGTAATAGACATAGCAGGAGAGGCAAGTGCTAAAAAGGCACCATCATAAGTCCACAGTGGCCTGGGGAAAGCTATCAGATGAGGGATGTGATTGACTCATGGGCTTTAAAAATGCCAGTCACCTGTGGTATCTGAGAACAGGTGGGGGTGCAGTTCGAAACTGTGCTTGTGCTCCTGAATTCCCACTCACCTTTCAGGTTCTTAATTATGGCGGCCGCAGGTGAGTGCTCCAGGAAGCAAAATCTGCACATTCCTTTTTTAGAGGAATGTCAGTGTTTAATTTACCGCATGGAAAGCCCTAAAACCCCCCAGGGCCTTCCAAAAATAGATGGGATTAGTCAGTAGTGACATTTACAGGGTTTTTTTTTCCTCCCTTCCCCCTTCTCAGGAATGACAAAAGTTTTTCTTCTTTCTACTTAGTAAACTTAGCTCCCTTGAGGATTTTCACCTTATGAAAGAAAGACATGGTTAAATTCTATACTACATTTACGGGATTTTATTGCAAAATAAAAAAATCTAAATTGCTATAGCCAATTTGGGGAAGTGTTTCAATTATGTTCATAATGAAAAGGATTTAAATGGAAGCTATCAACTGGAAAAAATTTGGATGAATTAATGAAGAGTTGAAAAGAGTGAATCCCCTAAAGTAGTAAAAGTCTGAGATTTCTCAGCCCTCCATTTGGATAATGAATGGTTTCCACACAGAGGAAACACAGGAAATGTTTACATATATAAATACTGCAAAATTCTTTTCTAATCGCAATAGGGATGTGTTAATTGAAAAGGAACCCCAGTGAGAGGTAGAGTGCCTCTAACCAAGGGTAAGGCCATTCGTTGGTCTGTTAGTTCACTCATTTGTTCTTTCGTTCATTAATTCATCCATTCATTTCTTTCTTCTTTCCCACTGAAGGGCCTTTGGTCTCATGAGTGCTGCTAGTAGTTACCTCCTACTCTTCTTTCAGATCTCAAACTTCACTTCTGTAAGGAAGCCTCCCCAACCCTGTCATCTCTACCTCCACGTAACAGATGGGTCAGGTTATTACTGAACTACTCTTTGTGGTATATAATAGACACTGAGTAAATATTTGTTAAATGAATGAACAAGTTAATCCATTCATCCATACATTCTTTCCTTTGTCTCTTTACTGAGCAGGAATTTACTAAACCACAGCTATGTGAGAACCCTGGCCACGTGGGCCTGGCTGGGAGGAGAGCAACTTTTCATACCTGAGAACTCAAACAAGTCAGGACTCACCTTCCTCAGAAGCCAAGGGAAGCTGAGAGTGAGGTGGATTTCAGCCCAGGTCTACAGGTGGAAGTTTATGGAACTAAGCAGAAGGGACAGAGATAGGAAACAGTGGAAACTAAATTTGCACTTGTGCCAAGCTCTTGTGACTCTTAGAATCTGAAATATAGTTTTCCTGGTAAGGAAGCTGTGGCCAGAGAGATTAACTGACTGACTTCAAAGTCACAGAACTCATGAACTTGAGTCTCTGAGATTCCTTTGAACTGATTAAAAGTAGTTATGGGTTGAACTATAAGAAGCTGCAGTATGTTTTGGTGCCTTGGATTTGAAGGGGACAAGTTACTTCCAGATAAGTGAAAGGACCCAGAGTGTGGACCCCAGAGGAAATGTCTGGAAGAGAAATGGAACCCCTCAGAGTCTCAGGGTTTTTCTACTCTGGGGTGGTGGTGGCAGAGGGGGTACCAGCAATCCCACCGGGAGAGCATTCTTGGAGGGGGCTATTCCTTCAACAGTTGATTTAACCACTGGAGAGTTTTACCAAAAAGTAAACTTTTCTCATGGTAGTGTAGAAACTTCTGGGTGGTTCCAGTTCTCAGACACTCATTCTGTTTAACTCAGCTGTTCTATTTAATAGGCCATCAAGTGTGTATTTTCAAAATAACGCATCTCAGTTGCAGGGTTTTGGTAGGGACAGAGCGTTTTCACATACGCTAGTTTGCTTGGCCCCATGACACTCCTGTGAAAAAATTAAGACTAGAGACCTTGTGGTTTGCCCAAGAGTCACACGGCAGGTTAGTGGAGAAACAATAGCTTGAACTTGGGTCCCTGACTCAGATCACATACTGTGTACCACAGGTGGCTCACGTGAAAGGAAGTGTTTCTCTAGCAGGCAGGACACATATAGCGAAGTGTGACAAGGGTTTTGAAAGCACTCAGATTTCACTTTTAATATTTAGTCTATATGCTGTCCTTCTCAGAGGTATGCTTTCCTTACCTGGAATGTTTTCTTCTTACCATATGCTGTAGTGGAAGGTGACAGAGATGAGCAGCAACCGATAAGGATAATGACTGTTAGCAATCGATTACACAGCATTTACTATGTAGCAGACACCAAGTGCTTCACATACACTAGTTCATTTAATCTCACGATAAATACATGAGATAGGTATCATAATTATTCCCATTTTACAGATGTGGAAACTGAGGCATAGAGGGGTAAAGAAACTCAATTAAGGGTCTCACAGCAGGTTTAGTATCTGAGATCTGTCTTCTTAATCACAGAATTTTTTTTTTACCTACTGAATTTTTACCTATAAGATTATTAAGCCATTTGAGTACAAAGGTAAGGCCTCGATATTGCATTCTAGAAAATATTCTGAAAATTCTGGGTTTCAAAAAATTACTTTTCTTTCTAAAGTAATTTTCTAGAAAATCTTCTTGAATAGGCAATCCATATGCACAGTACAACCTCACAACCATGAAAGAGTGTGTGAAAAAGTCTATCTCCCTCTACGCTGTCCCCTAGCTGCTCTCTTCCCCTCTCCAAAGGCAACTGCTGTTAATAGTTTCTGGTGTTGAAAATGATGTTTGGAGATTTACGTTCTCATTTGTGCTTAAGGAGAAAGAAATGATGCAGTAGGAACCCCAGCTCTGGCCTCAGCTGTGTCCTCTGTCAGAATTGAGACACATCTGGGCTGTCTGGCAAACTGATAGGGCAGCTGACCAGAAGTCAGAGGGCGGGTGGAGTGAGGAAGCATCTGGGAGAGAGAAGTGCCTAAGGGAGAAGGAGCTTGGCCCCACATCAAAGCTTTTAGGCTTAGTGGGGGGAAAGAGAGATTCTGAGGAAGAAGTGGTGATTTCCTTGACTCTCATGGCAGAGCCCACCCATGGAGTCGTTTCTGAGTCCTTTGGTTTGGAGGGAACCCAGTTGGCTGAGGTAAAGCCTGAGGAAACAGTAAAGGGCTGTTTCTTTGAATATTGTGAAAGATATTGAGCACTGCTTGGGGACCCCCTCCATCATAGCAGGCATGGTAAGGGGGACAGCCTCCTTCGTTAGCTCATCTCAGATCACTGGACAGTGTTGGCACCTCTGAGTTTCCTAGGAGTGGTGTTGAAGGGTCATTGAGGCAGTAGTACCTTGAAGGAGGTGGCCGCAAAGTGGGGGTTAGAGACAGCACTTCACAGGCTACCCTCTCCAGGGGGCTCCAGAACAAGGGAGGAACAAAATGGCAGGCTTGACCCCACAAAATGGTAGCTGCACATAAAAAACATGTATGGGATAAAAATGTTTGCTGATTCTCTGCATGGGGCATTCTCTTGTTGTCTTAATTCTTTGTTCATGGTGCTCTCCTTGTCTGGACTGGCCTTTTTTCTTCCCTTTTCCTGTCTAATTCCTCCTTATCCTTTAAGACATGGTCAGGCAATTCCTTCCCTACACCCCTCTCCTACCCTCAGCCCCTGGCCCTGTGTATCTGTTATTACCTGACTTGTATTAAAATTATCTGCTAGTAGGTCAGTCTGAGACCATGAACTTCTGTTTAGGGATGGTTTTGATGAGTTTTGTAGTTCTGGCACTGGGCTTTCAGTAAGTATATTGAGGAAGTGTAGAGTTCCTGCAGGATGTTCTGAACTACCCGAGATACCTTTCATTCTTGCAAAAGATCCCTCAGTGACAGCTTGATCCATTGAGTGATCTATTTTTTGCTAGCTTACCAGACTAGAGAATCTGCCTTTTAGTTGAGAGTGGGACTAAAATGCTTGCTAAACTCTAGGTGGTTTTGATTTATTAGTGAGCATCTGGAACAGACTGCACTGGAAAATGAGCCACATTAACACGTCACCATAACCATTTAATTATCTTAGATATCCATCAAACTACTGGCTATATTACTCAAGTTTGGGTCATTGAAAAAAAAACCCAATTGAGAAATCTCATCTTGTTTCTGTGAGGTAAATGTTCTGTGAGAGTATGTTGAGATTACCTGCAGAAAGGCTCCATATTGTTGTTGTTTTTCTCCCTCGTGCTATTTTTCTTTTTTCCAATGTCTTTCTCTATTCCAGACATGGTGCTTTAAATAATTTGACTTGCGGGTAAGATTGGAATATAGAATAAAGGCCAATGTGGAGGGAATAGGTCAATGCCTAATTGTTTCTAAATGACAGAGGGGAAATAGACCGTAACTGGTACACTCCTGGCATGTAACCCTTTCTGTCTCTTTAGAAGATTGTCAGTGAAATAGCAAAAAAGTCTGAATTCTCTGAGTAGGTTCTGCTTTGTATAGTTCCAACTAAATGAACTAAATTTCCGTTTAAACACTGCAAGTCTACATGTAATGGTGCACGCTGAAGATTTTACGCTGTGTAAAAATGGTAATTTCCCCCTTTGGAAGGCAAGGAGACAGGAATGGGAGGGGTGGGTGGGGGAATCAAAGTGTAGGTCAAAAATTTGAATTTTAAGTGCAATATTCTTAGTCATCACTTTCATTTCTGTCTTCTAGGGAAATCTGACACAGCTAGAAAGCAATGGAAAACACTAGGGGTTGCATCAGATGTTGAAGAGGAACTGATCTTAGCATGGAGATAAAATGATCTCTTCAAGGGGTGTTTAAAAAAGGTGGTTATTTAAAGGTAGCAACCTTTATGGGGAAAGCTAACAAGGGTTCCAGAGGCTAATTTGTCCCTTGTTAGCAATGTTTGTCCCATGTTAGAATGAGAAATCAGGGTGACTTGATGCTATTTCTCTTCCTCTCAGCATAGATTTGCAAGAGTGGGCTGCAAATAAATTTTCTTCCCTTTGAGAAGGTTCTCAATTCACTCTGTGGAACAAATGTCTATAATAGATTTAATATGGTTGCGGTTTTGCCTTAACTCATTGGGTAAGTGGTTTTCTTTTATTCATTCTTAACTCTGCAACTACTATTAGCCTACAGCATTGCTGGCATCGTGCGTGACCCAGGGGAGAGTTAGAAAGGAAGTAAAAGATGTGGCCTCAGAGATCTCATGGGGGAGAAACAACAATAATGATAACTAACATTCACACAACTTGAAAAAGTAGAAGTCATTTCCCGTTACTTTCCCTCATTAATTTTCTCTACAAACACATTGTGTAGGCTTCACTATCTGCATTTTACAAATGAGGACAGTGAAGTTTGGAGTAGTTGAGGGACTTAGCTAGGATCACCAGTAAATGACAGAATGTGAACTTACAAATAATATTCTCAGTCTAAAACTGTATCAATTCTATTGAAAACTGGCAGTTACAGTCTAATATCTGTACAAGTGCATGCTGACAAGTCCTCGTGAATGATCAGGGTGGAATGCGGCTCCTCAGGGATGGTATCTTGGAGAAGGATGCAGCACATGCGGATTATTGAAGGAGTCAAAGGAGACCCTGCTGCAGGGAGAAGGGTGGAAAAGGACATGGGAGGAGAACAAGGGCAAGAGTGAGCTGAACATGTGGGTCAGGGGAAGGAGACAGACCTACCCAAGCAGAAGAACCACATGGTTGGGAATAATGAGAGACAAGTCTAGGAGACATTGGGATGTGGATATAAGGGTAGGGGAAAAGTAACACCTGGAATTTTCTTTCCATTGCCTTGGGGAGCACCTGGTGGAAGGGCTGTGAGTGCTCCTAAGAATATGTTCTGCACTGGTGCCTCAATGGGTAGAAAAGGGGGTTGCCAAATGAGTTATATGTAGAAGCTGTGCAAGGGAAGTTCTTATGCAAAATGACTAAACACGCTCCATTGCCCTGCCTGGTTACTTATAACTGTTGCATGTGTGCAGAAGTTGATGGGAGTCCAGACATTATCTATGAGATCGCCCAGAGAATCAAATGAGAATAGAGTTGTTCTAAGAGATAAAGGGCTTCTGCTTTACCTGCAGCAGTTGATGACAATCTGTCCCTCCATCATAGTGCAGACAGTTTCAGCCACATTCCCATCAAGCATTTCCTACATCTGGCACTGACACCTTACTCAAGGGAGGGACTGAGAGCTTGGGGCTGGGGAGGGAAGAGAGACCTGATGCAGACCTGAATGATCTCTACAGTTATATAACTTTCCAGTCACAAATCACTTATTAAACCACTGAATTCATACGACCAAGATCATTGTGTGTTTGGGTCACTTCAGTTACCTTGAGATCTGGGACCCACAGGCCTGAGAGTGGCAGCTGGTCATGTCATGGGGACTCCTCTGCACAGCATCACAAGCACAACAGAGAGCTCTGAATTCATGAGACAACACCTGGAATCTACAGGAATAAAGTGAGAAGGTTTACAGAGCCTGGAGAGAGGAGCCAGCTTACAGAATTTCTCTCCCTTTTTCCTCTGCAGCTTCAAGGCAGATCCCAGGGAACACACAAACACATAATGGGAAGAGACAGTCTAAGAGTTAGTGCCTGACTGTCTGCACCCAGAGTCTCATCTAGGAGGATATTTGCCTGATTCTAGCACAGCCTAATTCTAGATCAGAGTTTGCTTATCCATTTTTGTTAAAAGACTGTAGCCTCTAGAACCAGGGAGTGCGCAAGTTTCTTAAAGCTCTTAGGGCTTGAGGAAATAGGCCTTCCAAATAGGCATAGTAGTAAAACTGATAAAGTTGTGATGAGGAACAAATGAGATAATGTCTGTGTTGCAAGTTGGGTTCCTTGGGACACAGATTATGAGATGGAGGTTTGGATATAGGAAGGTTATTGAGGAATCATTTTGGGATCAATAACTTTGGGAAAATGAAGATAGCATTATTGGGCAGAGGAAGAAGGCGAACCTTGATGCAGTTGTAAGAAACTCCTCACTAGCTCTATGAGTGGCTGTGCAGCTGCAATAGTCCTTCAGAGTTATCCTAAATTGAGAAAAAGAGCGTCAGTCTTATATCCCCACGCTGACCAGTCAATGAATGTGGCTGTCTCCAGGAAGGGTCTGTGATCTGGGGCAAAGAAACTCTTCAGCAGAAGGCAATTCCTGTAGAGGGATTCAGCTGACAGCTTTCAGCTGCCCACACTCCCAGCAGGTGAGGGGAATGAGTGTTTGAGTCCTGAAAGAGGCGATAAATCTGGGTGATGCACCACGGGTCTGCTTCAGTCCACTTTTTGCACCTCGGCTTCACTTGCTTCATTACAATAAGTTCTGAGAACAGCTCCTCCAGGATTCTGGTTGATTTCTTTTCCTGGAGAAACTTATAAGAGGAAGGTGAATGGAATGAACTAGAGCCTACACCACAGTAGCTGCTCTTGAGGTTGCAACTGATACTCATTTTCTTCCTTCTTTACTACCCATTCTAGCTTCTCCTTACTCTTATCTGGGCCAAGTGGCTTACTCGGTGGGTGCAGACTAGGCTGTGGCTGCTGTACTTATCTATTTTCCACTAAGTCACCCAAGTGGATTACCTGGGTGCCAAACACAGTCTTCCCTGCTCCCCAGTTGTAAGATCAGCCCTATCACTTCCTGATTTTCAGGATCAGCTACTCATGCCAGAATGTGACTCCTTTCCCTGTCTGCTGTTCCCTTGGTATGAGGAACATGAAGTAACCGGGTGGCAGCCACACCTTATCATTTAATGGGAAACTTACTGTGTCCTCTTGTAGAAGTAGGCAACCAAGAATGCTGTGAGCCACTGAATCTTTGTAGTGTTTTTTTCCTCCCATCTGAAAGGCACGTATATTACTAAGGCCTCCAACACACTTGCTACTTCTTGCTCCTCAGGTCCAAAGAACATACTGTCATCAACAGAGTGGACCAATATGATGTTCTGCAGGATGTCCAGGTGGCCCAGGTTTCTTAGGACTATATTTGGACAGAGGGTGGGGAAGTTTACACGGCCTTGGGGCAAGGCTGTTAATGTATGCTGTTGTCTGTCCCAAGTGGAAGAGAACTGTTTTTGATCTTCCTTTCTTATAGAGATTGAAAAAAATTTATGTGTCAGATCCATGACTGAAAACTATGTACCTGTGGCAATGTTAATCTGCTCTAGCCAAGATATTAATCTGGCATAGTTGCTGCAATTGGGGCTAGTGCTTAATTGAGTTTGCACCAGTCCAAAGTCATTCTCCAGGATCCACCTGGTTTTTGCAGAGGCCACATTGATGAATTAAATGGCAATGTGATGGGGATCATCACCCCTGAATTCTTTAGACTTGACATTCCTCTCAGGATATAATGCTGTTTCCGATTTACGATCTTGGCTGGAATGGGGAAGAGCAGTTTCAGAGGCTTCAATTTGGCTTTCCCACTATGATATATGGGGGTTCTGCCAAAACCAAGTATATATATTGTAGTTATATATATATTGTAGTTATATATATATGTAGTTACATATATATTGTAGTTATATATATATGTAGTTATATATATATATAGTGAAAATGACTCCTATATGGGTCTGAGGAACCAGTGTACCCACTGTGAGCCAGACTTGAGTCAGGACCCCATTTATTAATTGACCCCTATACGCTCCCACTCTAATAGGGGGTATAATGTTTCTTTGGATCCCTGGGTTTCAATATCAACCTGTATCCTATATCCAACAGTCCTCAAAATATTTAGAATTTCCCCTTTTCCAAGTACCCAATTACTTGAGTAAATGACCATAGATAGATCCCTTTGGGAAGGATTGAGGTAATCATTACTATATATACTTACCATGATGTTATAGGATCCTCCTTCCTAGGGACCTTACCTCTGTTTCAGTCAAAAGGTTCCAGGTCAGAACACTGGCTCAAATCTAGAAATTGGGCTTGGGATCATGACTTTTTATTGGGTTGTCCCTAGTCTCTTGATCACCCACCTTACTTTCTTTTGTTTGTTTAGATTGAACATTATTACCATTATTGGCAGAAATTCTGTGTTCTATTAACTACCTCATGAATTACGGCAATTGTGACCAAATTGCTTCTGATGGTTAAGAAGCAACTTGGCTACCTGGCCTCTTTTCAAGATCCTACCATCCCTGTTGCTATCAATGAGTCCACTTCTGTATAACATCTACTACTATCAGCCTCGTCCTACAGAGGATGGCCACTATGGGAGTGAATTCTAATTGGCCTAAGCCAATCATGGTGGTTCTATCCCTCTTGCCTGTGATTAATTTAAGCATGGGCACATAATATAATTCTGGCCAGTGAGATAAGGGGAAATTTGCTGGAGGCTTCTGGGAAATATTTTCCTCATTGATAAAAAGAAATTCTCCTGAGGAACTATCCTGGGGATGTTGCCTATACTTAACTTGTAGGACTGTGGCAGCTGTCTTAGGCTCATGAGGGGAACAGCCATCTTGGGGTCATGAAGAGAGCCAGCTAACAGGTATTATTAGGGTTCTCTAGAGAAACAGACCAATAGGATATACATATAGGAAAAGATTTATTATAAGGAATTGCTTATGCAATTATGGAGGCTGAGAAGTCCCATAATCTGCTTTCTGTGAGCTGGAGACCCAGGGAAGCCAGTGATATAATTCAGTCTGAGTCCAAAAGCCTCAGAACCAGGCGAACCAATGATGTAGATTCCAATCCAGGTTTCAAGGTCTGAGAACAAGGAGTGCTGAGGGTGGGAGAAGATCAATGTCCCAGCTCAAGCAATTGGGCAAGAAGAGTCAAATTCTTCCTTTCTCTACCTTTTTGTTCTGTTCAGGCCCTGAATGATTGGATGATGCTCACCCACACTGGGGAAGGCAAACTGCTTTACTGAGCCCACTGGTTCAAATGCTAATTTTGTTCAGAAACACCTCACAGACACACCCAGAAATAATGTTTACACCAAATATCTGGGCACTGTGTAATCCAGTCACGTTGACATAAAAAAATAACCATCACAAGTCCACTCTTGTCAGGTTGGCACCGACACGCATCTCCTTAAAACATATTTAATGTCCAAATAAAGACAATAACTAGATCATAATTCTGCCTAATATGATATAATTATCTTGCATAAAACCAAAACCAAACTTACCCCTTCCCTAGAAGAGGAGGTAAAGTCTCTTAAAAGAGTAAATGATGTTTACTTTTGATCTCCCATAACTTAAACACTATGACGTAAAATTAACAATACTCAAATACTGATACAAAGTCAATATATCTTATTTTACATAAGAGGAAAGAGAACAAAGATACACACGTACACAAACACAAATGCATTCATAACAAAATAAGGAGGAAATACTCATGATAATGACAGTCATTGTTTCTGTAACGGACCATGTGGTCATGGCTGTTATTTGTAACTTCCTTCTTCTACTACCCATTCTGTACTCCCTTTACCTTCAGCAAGTACCTCAGCTGATCATATTTTCTTAGCTAGGGTGGGGTGGGTGAGCCAAACCTTCATTCCTGAAAGGTCTGGGCCATTAGTAGTTTTGCCTGGATTGGGTTGTTGTAGTTTTCCGTTAACCTTAACCACAGGACATGGTAATACTAAGAGATCCCCTAGGGGATCTTCTGTATTCTGGACATATTCTTCCTTACTTCCATTGTAGAGTAGTAGTCCAATTTCCCCTTCACAGTCCAGATCAATCACCCCAACCAAAACAGTAACCCGCTTCTTTGCCTGTTGATTCAGAGGCGTGAGGAGTCCAAATTGGCCAGGCGGCACTTTCTAGTTCGATTAAATCATTGTTGTGTCTCCTGATGGAGTGTTCCTCTCTTTGGAACTAACATCTCTAGGCCAACAGAGCCTAAGGTTGTGGGAACAACAAGCAAAAATTTTGATAGTGGATCACTCAGGGTAATAGTAAGTAGTGCCACTCCCATTTCCACCCCTTGATTCCTGAACCCATGAATCCTGGCTCTGTGAGAAACAGCACCATGTATTGGATGCTGATGGAGAGCATATACAGCCTTCTGAGGAACCTTGCTCCAGCCCTGCAAGGTATTGTCACCCAGCTGGCACTGTAATTAAGTCTTCAAAAGGCAATTCCAATGTTCTATCAAGCCAGAGGCTTTAGGATGGTGAGCAACGTGGTAAGACCAGTGAATTCCATGAGCATGGACCCATTGCCACACTTCTTTTGCTGTGAAGTGAGTTCCTTGATCAGATCCTTACCATCCAGCCAAACCATTGGCCACAACCCATGAATCAATATATAATCACATGTTTTGGTCATTTCTCCTTCCTAGCAAAGTGAACAACCAGGTGCACTGCCCAAACTTCTGCCCATTGGAGGATTTCCCTTCACCACTGTTCTTCAGGTATGTCCCAGAAAGGAATGATAGTGCTGTAGCTGTCCACTTTCAAGTGGTGCTTACATTTTGTTCAGAATAATCTGTAAACCAGGCCTGAGTTTTCTCTCTCTGTCAACTGATCATAGGGAACTCACCTGAGACCATAGGTGCAGGCTGGGAGAGAGAAGGTAATGTAGCAGGAGTGGGGACAGTGTACATTTGGGCCAGTACTTCACGTCACATACTTGTGCCTTCAGGGCCTACAGGCCTGATCACATATATACCACTTCTATTTGATGGAGTGCTGCTGTGCACACCCAACTTTATGACTTGCTTAGCCAGATAACCCCCACTTCATGATGGAAACTTGGTGGTCCATGGTTAAGGGTTCAGTCTCTACTAAGGCCCAGTAGCAGGCCAAGAGCTGTTTCTCAAAAAGAGAGAAGTTATCTGAAGATGGTGGCTGGACTTTGCTCCAAAATCCTAAGAGTCTGTGTTGCTATTTACCTATAGGGGCCTGGCAAAGGCTCAAAACAGCATCCCTATCTGCACTGACACTTCAAACACCATTGGATCTGCCTGATCATATGGTCCAAGTGACCGAACAGCTTGTACAGCAGGCTGGACCTGTGCAGAGCCTTGCCTTGTTCTGGGACCCTCAAAACTGAAGCTTTTCAGGTCACTTGGTAATTGGGCTGGAGTAACACATCCAAATGAGGAATATGTTGCCTTCAAAGAAGCCCACTAAGCATTATGCTTCTTTCTTGGTTGTAGGAGGAGCCAGATGTGACAACTTATCCTTCACATTAAAAGGGATGTCTCTTGGGGCCAGCCCCATGGCCTATTGGCTAAGTTTAGTGTGCTCCACTTTAGTGGTCCGGGTTTGGTTCCCAGGTGCAGACCTACATCACTCGTTGATGACCATGTTGTGGCAGTCACCCACATACAATGTAGAGGAAGATTGGCACAGATGTTAGCTAAGGGCATATCTTCCTCAACAATAACAATAAAAGGGTAGTCTCAACTTGACCCATACCACTGGATCCCTACAAATTTAACTGAGGTAGAAGGTTCCTGAATTTTAGTCAGACTTATTTCCCACCCCCTGGTATGTAGATGTCTTACGAAGAAGTCTAGAGTAGTTGGTTCTTCTCGCTCAGTAGGTCCAATCAGCACAATGTCATCAGTGTAATGGATCAGTGTGATGTCTAGTGGAAGGGAAAGAGGATCAGGATCTTGGAGAACTAAATTATGACATAGGGCTGCAGAGTTCATATACCTCTGAAGTAGGTAGGTGTATTGCCAGCCTTGTCAGCTGAAAGCAAATTGCTTTGTGTGGACCTGGTAGACAGGGATGGAGAAAAAGGCATTTCCCAGATCAATAGCTACATACCAGGTACCAGGGGATGTGTTAATTTGCTCAAGGAATGAAACCACATCTGGTACAACAACTGTAATTTGAGTCAACACCTGGTTCAGCTTACAATAATCTACTGTCATTCTCCAAGATCCATCTGTCTTCTGCACAGGTCAAATAGGCAGTTGAATGGGGATGTGGTGGGAATCACCACCCCTGCATACTTCGAGTCCCTGATGGTGGCACTAATTTTTGTAATCCCTCCAGAAATGCAGTATTGCTTTTGATTTACTATTTTACTATTTTCTTAGGTAGAGGAAGTTCTAATGTCTTCTATCTGGCCTTTCCCACCATAATAGCCCTCTCTCCACAGGTCAGGGAACCAATGTGGGGATTCTACCAGCTGCTGAGTATATGTATTCCAATTATGCATTCTGGAACTGGGGAAATAATCACAGGATGGTTTGGGGACCCATGGGACCAACTGTGAGAGAGACCTGAGTTAAAACTCTATGGATGACCCAACTTCCATAAACCCCTACTCTGACTGGTGGGCCACAGTGACATTTGGGGTATCCTGGAATTAGTGGCAATCCAGAGCCAGTGTCCAGCCGTCCCTGAAAGTTCTGATGATTTTCTTTTCCCCAATGCACAGTCACCCTGGTAAAAGTCCATAGGTCCCTTTGGGGAAGGCTGAGAGAAAGATTAACAGTGTAAAATTTTGGTAGTGTACCTGGTCCTTTCTCAAGGGAACCCAGCCTTCCCTTCATTTAAGGACTTCTAGGTCTGTAAATGCGCTCAAATCTGGGAATTGATTGAGGGACTGTGACTCTGTTTTTATAGTTCAGGTTAAATTTTTAGTCACTTGGCTTAGAACTTTTCTGCTTATACAGATTGAGTAAGAATTTTGAAGGCTTTCTGTGTATTTCACTTGTAAGAACACCATGATGAACTAGCCAGTGCCATAGGTCACTGTGAGTCAGACTATTCTGAATACTGCTTTGATTCTTTTGTCTGTTATGGTAATCATGCCCATCTTGCCTTTGGCTGTTGAGTGCTGCCACTTGGCCCCTGCTACCTCAGGCTCCAATTACTCTCACTGAATTTAGGTTTCCCAGTGGAGTGGCTGCCGTTCCCACCCTCAGGTCTGGCCTGCAGAGAAGAGCAATCATGGAGCCCTTCAAGGATGCTGGGGCTCCCCTCATAAACTTATTTCTCTCAGTCTTGATGGAAGGTATGTCTTCTGCACCTTCTCAGTGTGAGTGAATAGGTCTTAAATACTAATCCACTCTAACATTTCAGTCTCTCCAAGCCTTGAATACCTTCCTCTTCATTACATAAAGCAGGTCAGGCATTTCTAGTTCACTCACTGTGAGCCATCTTTTGGTCCATGTTTCAGCCAACCACCAAACAAACTTTTAGAGCCCTTTCTAACTCCCCAAGTTGCAATATTAAATGCAGAATCTCTGCTTGGTGAGCCCAAATCCATAAATTCGGCCTGATACACCTTTGTGTTCCTTCCACCATTCTCCCACACCCTTAGTATCTATTCCTACTAAATGTTCCCTTCATTTCCATCTGTATAAATTAGAAAACTCTAGTAGTTCTTTTGGAGTGTGGTGTACTTCCTCATGGGTCACATTTTGTATGTCATCTTTAGGGGCCTGTTGGGACTTGCGTCTAGGTCTTGGTCTGGAAGCAAAGAAGAGTGGTGGAGGTGGGTCCTGAGGAGAAGTAGTATGGTCTTGTATGGCAACTGCCTCAGAGGAGGCCTTTATAATTTCCTTGGGCAATGCGGTTAATCCCCCTAGATTCCGGTGCAAAGGCCTATACCACTATGGGTGGAGATGCTGCTGCCACTGAAGGGAGTGAGGCCAATTCCACTGAGGATGGGGAGACCTCTTCCATTGGCAAAGAAGATTCATCAGAATTTAGGGACTCAATTGTCCCAGCTTCATCAAGGTCTTCCCACATGTCCCCATCCCAATTTACAGGATCCCATTCTTTCCCAATCAATGCCCTCACTTTAACAGTAGACTCCCTGTGAGTCTGAGGGTTTAACTTGTGTTGTAATTCAACCAGTTGCAGGATGAGGTTCTGTGTTTGATTTTAAGTAATTTCAGCATTGCAGCTACAGGAACTAGTGTTTCCTTTAGGGCACACATAAAAGCTCTTAGGTCATTTACATGGTACTTGAGCTGGGAATTCAAATCCTTGAGCTCATGCTTTTCTTTCATGAAAAGAAAAGCCAGTAACTTTAGGAGCAACCAACCAGTGTCATTATATTCATCAGTTTTTCAAAAAATGTTTGAAAGTGTCATATACAGAGTACCTCATTGTTTCTTATAAGTGGTTGATTAGGCATATCCAATGCAGATATTTTACATATCTCTACAAACAGTTCATGCCTATTTACTTCTGGAAATGGAGTTTACTATTTATCAGTGCTCTATTTACTTCTGGAAATGGAATCTCTAGCATCTTTAAATCTAATCAGATTAGAAAGCCAATTCCAGAAACCCTAGACCCACTTGCAACCAAGGTAATTCCTTGTTATATGATATAATAACTATTCTCATTACTTGAACTACATTTGGTTGTTTTCTGTTTACTTGCAGTCAAAAGCACCTATCATAACTCACATAGTTATGCCAACTGATTAGGGCCATTAAAGCATAGTGTGTAAGGTATTGAATTGCCAATATAATTTATTACCTATAATCAGCATATAATTTACATAAGTTAGCATGTTTATTGTGTGATGTCTTTATCAAAATATCAGAATTGGTCTGGGGCATGACCCACATTCACTTCAGGCCTCACCTGCTTAGAACCACAGGGAAACTTCCACTTTAACATTCAGTCCTTACTTGATTAATCCCTTGTTTGTTCTTCCTTTAGAAAATAACCCCCAGGAAGGGACTGGAATGAGGAAATAGAGAGCTGACCAAAGGCTAGACAGCTTCTTGTTCCTGACACTGGTCTAGATGTACTTGCACCAAAAGATGGGTACCTGCACTATAAGAGTAGTGGCCCCAGTGAAGGGGGGGGACAGAGTAAGTTTCAGGAGAAGAAGGCACTGAAGTGATAGGAAATGACCAGATATGAAATATAAAGCAGACTTGAGAGGTGAAGGAAGGCATCTGAGAGGGTTCCAGTGTTTTAGCCTTGGGAAACTGTTCCACCTGAATTCTTATAAAACGTTGCCACCCTGTCTGTAGGCAACTCTGACAGTAAGGTCCCATCCAGCTCAGGCAGCCACTCCTGGACTTGGTGCTGCTGTTGGCTGACACTTGGGTTGTCACTGCATCTCTCTATCTCACAGGTAAGCACATTTTGGGGTATCTGTCCAGCTCACAAGCCAATAAATCCTCTATTCTAGGAATTGATCCCCCTCACCCAAATGGTCCACAGGCAATCATGGATTGCTGACAGATCCTGGCCATAGCTGATTGGTACAGGACTAGCCCCAAACCAGACCAGTTGCTTTCTCTGTTGGGAATTTGTAGTCTTGACCATGAGAAACAAGCATTTGCTGTAGTTCCATCTATAATGTGTAAACTTGGGAGCTGTGGAGTAGCCATCTTCTGCCCACCAAGAAAATGGATAAGCAAAAAAGACCAGTCTGCAGAGCAAGAAGGACAATTTTCTCCTTGCCTCCAGTCTGGGCCTTTCCCTTGAACACCTGTTACACGTTTCATCTTTGTCCCTCATTTGGTTACTCTGTGACATCCTGGCTTGCATTGACATTACTGTTTTGTCCATGTATTACTTTCCTCCCCAAGTATATTTATTCCAAAGACTTTCATTTCCAAGAGTTAGGACTTGATCTTGTTCACAATCAGCAGTCAGTTAGAATTATCAACTAGAATGTTATAAATGCTGTTATTTAAGCACACAAAGAAGCACTAGAGCAGAGAGCAGAGGAGCTGTGACACCTGGGGTTGGATAAATCTTTTCTCATTTTACCAAAGGGGCCCATTGTTTTCACACTCATAGGTTTTGTGTTTCACTTTGTGTGTGTTTATCCTCTCTGCCTTTGTTCTGTTGCAGTCTTTGTGTATGCCCTGCCCTTGCTCTTGCACTTCCTCTGGGAGCTTTGTTGCCAAGAAACAAGGAAAGGCCAAAGCTCTTGATGTGAAACTCAGTGTTAATAAAAAAAGCGGGCAAGGAAGGGTAGACATCAGGTGCTTTGGACCTGCTTAAATCTACACCGGAAAAGATTTTTTGACAACACCAAGAAGATCAAGGAGATTGGGAAGGGTGCAACAATGACTAGGGTAGTAAAATTATTCTGTGCTAGGAGTTTTACAATAATGAGAATGGAACTGGTGCTCAGTCCTTGGCTTGGACAGAGTCAACCTTACGTCATGGTGGTTATGATTCAAGCAAAGGCTTTGGATAGCAATGAAAAGTGGTTTTGCAACATTGGAAATGGACAAATGCACTTGATAGTGGGATAATGGATGTTTAGATTTTTATTTTTATCTTAAGTTATTGTAATATTTAAATATAAAATTATTTTGTTATAGAAATCAGGCTATCATACCCACATATATCAGTGCTATCCAACTAAATACCTTAATTTGCCATTATTTCTAAAATTTTTAAGTTCTGTTTATATATATTTTTTCTGGTAGTATAACCTTCTTAATGCCTATCTTCCTGCTTTACACAGTGTGTATTAAATAAACACTTGCATCTATGCATAAATGAATATCTAAATGGTAATTTAGAAAAGTGCTTCTCAAATTTTAATGTGCATTAGAATCACCTAGTGATCTGGTTAAAATGCATATTCTGATTCATTCAGTAAGTCTGAGTGGTGCCTGAGATTCTAACAAGTTCCTAGGTGATACCTACACTGTTGTTCCACGGACTATATTTTGAATAGCAAGGATTTAGAAGACTGGAAAGAAAGAGCTTCATTCAGATCAACATGCTTTGGTATTTTTCCTCCTGTGTCCAAGTCAGTGGTAGGGTGAGTTGAGCAGTGAACACAGTTGGAGATCTGGAAACCTGTGTCCTGTCCCAACCCTGTCACTAATTAGCTCTGTGACTTTGGGCAAATCACTCACCCTCTTTGGACTTCAATTTCCAGTCCTGTAAAATGAGGGAGTAGGGCTGGATCATGTTTCCAGCTGTCCTGAGAAAGCTATAGCTCTACAGAGATGCTTCAGAGACCCACCCAGGAAAAGTGTGAGGCTAGTATGAGGAGGAAGAGGAGCCATGAAGGCAATGGAGAAGGAGTCATTATTTAGAAAGATAGGAGAACAGCCAGGAAAGTGTCCTGTCACTAGGAAGGTGGCTTTAAGAAGGATGTAGTGTGGGGTTGTGTCAAATGCTTTCGTTCAATTGTCATTCAACACAGTATTTAAGGCCAGCATGTTTCCCACTTATGGGATTTTAATGCATGCATTGCTCTGAAGAAGTCTGAAAACTAACCCTGAACCTGACTCCTTACTGATGGTATATAGAGTATTTAAGATCATCCTTAATGGCAAAGGAGGAGGGAAGGGAAATACCAACAGGACGAGTCAGCAGCTGCCAAAGCTGTCCTGCTGTCCCTGGGGCCTGATCTACTCTCCCTCCTTCCCTCTAGATTCCTCAGTGGACCGTTTTCTCCCACTGGCTCTTTGGGAACGGGGACACAACTGATTCATTTAGTTGCCACTCTTAGGCAAAGCTCCAAGAGGAGAAGATGGCCAATGTCCAACCTGGGTGAGGTATACGTATACCTGAGATCATTTTTATGTCCTCTATTTATTTCCAGGAAAGAGAGAAGAGGAGGGAGAGAGGAAGATTTTCCAGTGACGCATTTTTCTAGTTTGAAACCATTTTTCTCATCTGTGGCTGTACAGTAGAGCCACCTACAGTGTTTTAAGAAAATACCCCCAGAGGTTCTGCTTTAATTGGGGTATGGAGTAGGACTCAGGCAGTGCGTTTGTTTTTAAAGTTCCCCGGATGATTCTTATGTGCAAGCAGAGGTGAGAACTGGTTTAGCACTTCAGCTCAGCAATTCTCTTCTTCTTTCAGTGTGTCCATGGCAATTTGCCCTGGTCCAGAACTGCTCCATAAAAAGCCTGTGGTGGATATGGATTATTTAAAGGCCATCTTGATCTGGACAGAACTGTTCACTGTCTGTTCAAAAATGATGTGTTCCCAGGCTACTGCAATGTTTCAGCCCCAGGTGACTGATGGCTGTGTTGCGGAGACTCCAAGACAGAACAATGGTTTTTTAGGTAGCAGGGGCTTTAAGCTGGTGTTCCAGGGACAGGCTTCCCCTAAATTCAGCAAACATGGAATGTTTTAGCTAAGCCTATGCTTCCTGGATGCCAGGGATTGTGTCTGTCTCACTTTGCCAGACAATGAGCAAATGTGCTGGAATCTTGCTGCTGTCTTTTTTGCTTGGGAGTGGAATTCAGAGCCAGATCTCATGGACCCTGAGATTAGGCTCCACAGTGGGGCTCAAGCATTGCATACTATGACCTCATTCAACTGTGGTATTTTCTCTCTTCTACCACCTCATCTCTCCTCAAGGTTTTAAAGAGGATCAGAATATGCCACCCCGAAATATGCCAATTTGGCTTAAGAATTATTTTGAGCTAAAGACATTTGAGATTCAACAGAAACAGAAAGAAGCCTGTCTGGAGCTTCCTTTTTCTGACTAAAAGTAGAAATTCCTGAGAAACAAGCACTGCCATAAATCCTCTCTCCTAGGAAAGTTTTATGGCCATGAAGAAGATGGAAATTTGTCACCAAGATGGACCTGCACAAACAAACCTTACTAAGATAACCCTTATCTTCCATTAATTTTCTTCCTATATTTGCTTTCCCGTATTTTGCAGCCCCTAGAAGCCTAAAAACCCTTCTTTGTCTTGTTATGTCTCTACAATTTATGATTCTTTGTTAATTGGTGTCTAAGTCTCAGGCCTATCTGCTTCTTTGAATCTTCACTTCTTTTCCAGGAAGGCCCTCATGTGACATAAAAATTAGCATAAACAAAATTTGTATGCCTTTTCTCCTGTTAATCTGTCTTTTGTCAGTCTAATCTTCAGGACCCCAGTAAATGAACTTAAGAGGGTAGAAGAATAAGTTTTTTTATTCCCCAACAGTTTCAAATAGAACCTGCCAACAGCTCTCAAGTCTATTGGTCTTGTCCAGTTTTTGACTCATGACATCTTAAAAATGTCCACCTGGATATCTCATTGGCTCCCTGAAAGATAAACATTTACAAAACTGAACTCATCTATTTCTCAAAGCATTCTTCTTTTCTCCATTCCTATCTCAGTTGTTAACAGTAGCTCTATACCTTCCATCACTTGGGCTGAACATATCAGATTCCACTTAGTCTTCTCCACAGGCCATTCTTGGAGGAAATATTTATTGAGCACCTATACTATGTACCATGCATTGTTCCAACCACTGTACATACAGTGATGAGTAAGCCAGACAAGGGCCTGCTCTCATGGAGCTTACATGGGGAGAGAGAGAACAGACAGTAAAGACATTATTATATTTTCAGATAGTGAGTAGTGCTATGAATAAAGTAAAGGAATGGGAGAGACAGTGAAGGGAAATGCTACTTTAGAAAGTGTGATCAGAGAGAGCCTCTCAGAGGGGCTGCTTGAATAAGGAGAAGGGCTATGGAAAGAGTGGTGATTGTTTGGGAAAAAGGGGGCTACAAGTGTCTGGGACCTGACACTGTTTAAAATCTAAGAGACACTGTCTGGAGAGTAGTGGGTCAAGGAGAGATGAAGGGAGCTATATCACGTTGGATTTGTAGGGCAAAGGTGTTGGATTTATTGTGTTTTATTTAGTCCAGCTCTTTTATCCATACCTTCCTTTCCACTCTCCTAGCCACATTCTTTGTCAAGATCCTGATACATTTCATCTGGACTGTTTACCTTCCCAGCTTTTATGACTCATCCTCCTCCTCAGGCTCCTTAGCTGGTTCTTCTCTTTCTCCTCCTCAACCCTTAACTCTCAGCAGACTCCAAACTTTTCTCCTGTCTCTTCCAGGGATGCTACCGTAGGCCAGCATACTCCAGCTTCCTATTTAGCCTTGAGGAGCAGAGTGTCTGGTTAACCATCCTCCTCAGGTCTTAGCACATTATTATAATTAGAGCTGCCACTTTTCTCACTTGATAGAAGGGTTGATTTCCTTATTACCCCATTCTCATTACTCTCCCCTACTTCCATTTTAATGTATTTTTTTATTTGGATCTGCTCCTGTGAAATGTCAATTTTTATTTCTGTGCATTCATTTTAGTATATCCTGTTCTCTTTTCTGATTTTTCTTTAAACATTATGTTTTTAAGATCT